ATACACTATTATTCGATAATCGTATCATTGGATAGACAATCCTTTAATCTATTAGACAAATTATTAGTTTTCTTAAATATCTTTTTGAATCGCGAACTTATTCGCTAAAAACAAAATGTTATAATAACAGTGTAGGTACTACAACTGTTTACAAATAGTGTATGGTGCACTTGGACTATTATTAAGAAAATCCCAAAGAAATTTTTTTAATATTAAAATAATTGTAGAGTATTTTACTTCATTATATTGCTGCTAACTTTCACAAACAGCTTCAAAATTTAAATAAAAAATAGCGTAGTATCGACATACATCAATTAATCTTTCTGCGTATGCAAACAAATAAAATAGTGTACAATGATTTCATATAAAAAAGTTCAAAGATAAAATAGTGTATAAGCAGATGCTTTCAGAAAAATGGACTCAAATGGTATTTAAAGGTAAGCATGGTAAACTTTTTTAGTGAATTAACAGCTAAGGAATCAATAAAAAGTATGGTGTACTTATAATGAGAATAAGTATTTTGAATAAGAAGCGCTCAATTAAAGTTTAAACTTGGTCGATTGGATTATAAAAACTTCTAATTCGTTTTTCTCAAAACTATACTTTCCATGTTACACTACTTTATTATTCCAGCGACGATATACTTCAAAGTAAAATAAAGGAATATTTTTTTTTAAATAAACAGGCGTTACGTCAAATAAGAAGTAATAGATACTTATGTAATTACATAAGTCCACCTTCTTGATTGGCGTTGTTACCGGGTTTTAACCAATTCCAAAAAAGCCAATCGTTTCTCTCTTGTGTGAATGCCAATTGGAAATTCCAACTGAAGCCAAATCCCCCACCACTTGGTATTTTAGCGTTGATGATTTTAGCTCTAGCTGAGTACGTAGAGGCGCGTGCTGTGTATTATTTGGTAGGTTCCAAGAGATACTGGGCTCACTAAATAAAATGGTATACACATATTTTTCTTTATATTTAAATCTAGTTTTCTCCTCTAACTTTATAATTAGTAAGTACCTACTTAATTAAATTTAGAAAAACACCATCAACCAGCTGACACGTTTCATAAGCATTTTTCTTTATTTTTACAAACTTATGAACATTGAAAATAATAATTAAAGACTCAAATAGTCATGAAAAAAGGATCTTAGCTAATAATTGTATAATAAAGCTTAGCCTAAATGTAATTTCTAGAACTATTTAAATGTTTTACTTCACACATAGTTGCATGAAACAACCGTATGGGCTAATCCCGTGTTTATATACACTCTTAACGCGATTCAACAACTCTTAACTCGCATTCAAAATATGATTTATGGTGGCACGGTTAAAAGTTTCAATTCGATTTAAGAATGTGTTTACATGTGTGTTTCCAAATAACATGCTTTGACTTAGAACGAATTAAAGAATCATATAAACATGGTATATGATGTACGTATGTATGTAGTGCTTATCTTTCCTTTCTATCTTATCACGTCTGACTAAATAATAGTGAAGTGCTTCCTATCTTATCATTATTTTATCACGCATATACGTGGTGTCATGAATTAACGTACATACATATATTTTAATTAAAAGTCGTAATAGATTATCGTAAATATAATTTGTGTAGCGCCATCTACCTGATTTTTTTTTTCAAAAGCTTTAAGTAGTTTAACCCTCTATAGGAAATATTCTTTTGTTATTTTAATCAAAGAGAGAAGAAACGAAAAGCAGTGGGATTATTTGTGAATTGGTACCATTGTTCATAACGGCTAATTAAACATTTGCACAAATACTTAAAATTCAAAGGTGCAAAAGTATGTATGTATGTTTTAACGAATATGTGTTTATGTATGCACTTTCTCTATTAAAGTGTGTGTGGAAGTGGTTTAAAAATATTTCATTTGGTTTTTGTTATCTTCAAGTCTTATGTGCGTTGTGCTTTCTTTAAAGATTCTCCTCTTTCACGTTGAATCAATAGATTTTAATCAACTTGTTTGTTTGACAAATAAAACGCTATATTGGCTCGTCTTTAATTGGTGATGGGGAATTTTATGTAATATTAATTACACATTGTCCTACCATACAGCTGTAGATGCTCAGGTGACCAACCTGCTTCAACTCAGCACTCATGAGCTCTATGTTACTTGATCTCGGGTCGAACAACGCTGCATTTCCTATCTACATATGTACATCAGGGCGAAAGTGTAGTGTTTTGTTGCAGTTGTGGCTTAATACCACCTTTTCACTGGATTTCGAGTTAATGATGTAATGCTGTTGTTCGAAAAAAGCGTAGTGTCGTCGCCACTATCATCAACAACAACACTATTAACACCACCACTGCTACCCACCTGCGAATGACGTCCATACTTATGTAAATATATGTATGCACGTTCTTCTACAATTCGTGTTGAGTGATGAAAAAACTGGGCTAAAGGAGGGATGAGTAGTTTCCATTATTAGTTTCCTTTTATTTTTATTTTGCAATAAATATATCACCTGTATCACTAGTGAATGCAGAGCAGATTACCGTCGTTTTCTCCTTCTTCCTATTTAGCGAATGGAAAATGCATTGAAGCTATAAAACCGACAGAAGATGGCTTTGGTGATAAATGAAAAGCTGCTGCACTGCTTCCTTTTAAGAGTTGTTGCGTTCGTATATGAGGAATAAAGTTTCAAAGAAAAGTTAGAAGAATAAAATAAATGACGGTTATATACATATGTACAGTCATGTAAAAAAGTAGGGACACAACATTTTGACCTGTTTTGGCTACTTTAATGTTTATTAATTAAACAGAAAAAAATTTAAAATTATTATATATGTTTCGTTTAATAGGATTCAAACCCGGACTGTCCTCAAAGCGAACAAATAGTCTACTCAGCTTCAGCGACAACATGTAACAGGACAATTTTCGCAACTGCCTTTCAGCTCACCACAGTTTTTCGAAAGAGTCTTTCGCAAGACAATTTTCAATTCTGTCATATATCTTGAAAGCTCTTTACTGCATATCGAAAGACTAATTGAAAGATCTACTAACGATGAGGTCTTGGGCTTATGCTGTTCACCTTTTAACATTCATTTTTTTCTTAATTAACTTAATTAAAACAACATACATATTTTTCCTTTTAAAACAGTCAAAAATAATAAATAAAAGAAATTTAAATTAAAAAGGGAACAATGAAAATAAAGCAAAAAAAAACATTTTTAAAAATTTAATGAGATTAAATTAAAATTTTTTTCTTTAGATTTAATTAAAAAAGGACAAAAATTAAATAAAAAACAAGAAACAATATTCCGCCGCCCAAAACTCGAACTCGGCTCTTGTGACCCTTGGAGCGACGCATGCTAAATGATATGCAAGTGCTTTCTCTCAAAATAGTTTTTAACCTTCACCACAATTGGTGAATGAGAGAGCTTTTTTTCTAAGACTATTGTGCTAGAATAACAAAAGTCTTTCGAACTATTGCTTGAAACACAATACCCGGCGAAGGGCGAAGTTCGCCGAATTGGGCGATGCCGTCGGTCACCGTTCGCCCTGCTATTTCGCCTACTTTAACAGAATTAGAGCGGCTGCGAAAACAGCTGATACCATTTCGTCGCACTTATAGGTTAGGTGACCATATTTTGAAAAACTAAACCATATTTAGAAATGATGAAATGGTAACAAATATACAAATAAGGCAAGGGGGAATAATTATAAATGATTTTATTTTAAGCCAGATTTAACGAATCGATCACTGTATTTTTCAACCACCAAAAATAATTCGTGTTACATGCTGTTTTCTTTTAAATCTTTGAAAGTTAAAAAACATACGGCCACCTTTGGCATGTACTGCCGCCATCGCCCAGCAGAGCGATGAAAATAAATCTATCGCCACGAAACGCCGCCGAGCGAACTTCGCATTTCGCTTTGGCTGTGTTCAATTTCATATGCCGGCAGGTGTTCTAATTTTGACAGCGGTAATTTCGCTGTGGTGAGTTCGCCGTTCGCCGGCATTGTGTTTCCACGGTATCTTGCCATCTGTCCTTCGTTTGTCTTACTGAAGACTTTTTACTACCTTAGCCAGATTTGTCCTCTAAGTGTGTTTTCAAATGTTCATTTTGAATCAAAGCCATATCACGCGCTTCGTGCATTTGAACAGATTTGTGCATTTTAATAGTTACAGAGTGGTGTTGTTTGGTAATTTTTTTTTGAGCTGAACTCGTTCTTGATAAAAATTTCTAGACGATACCTCTCTGTGATCGATCAAACAAAATTATGTTTCAGTTTTTTTTTTAATAATTTGTGTTCCAAAATTTAAAATCGCTAGCAAAAAATACATAAATAATTAGATCGACTTTTATAGACAATTAATAAACATTAAACAAAACAAAAGAAAAATTGCTAAAACTGGTCCAAATGTCATGTCCCTATTGTTTTCATATGACTGTATGCTCAGTCGTTGTTTGCTTGATGAAAACATTGCTCATTTTACACTCGATTGAAAGCTATTCTCGGAATCATCTGTTATAAGTTAATTAAATACCATATAGTAAACAAAACGAATTTATTTTTATTATTTTTTGCTCTAATTCAAGAACAGAAAGAATTATCGAAATTCAATTCATTTGCTATAAATAGCACCGTCAGTTGTCCAAAGTCTATCAAAAAAACTTTGTCTTCATCATTAAAGCAAAATTACCAACAATTGACAAATCTAGAATTCGACATGGCGGAGAAGAATACAACTTTTTAAATTAAAGAAGGCAACAAACCCCGTATTTTTTGTGTTCTGGGTTTGAATCTGAGAGCAAACTAACAAAACATTAAAATGCGCATTTCGCAAAATGACTTAAACCTTCTGCTTAGATAACGATATGTGATAGGATGACAACGCCAACGTTAAAAGTTTATGTTTGCGTTGGGAAAAATATTAAATAAGATGGTACACATATTTGTTTATATATTATTATTATTATTTTTGGAATATATTTACTTCTTGAAGACTTATAAATATTTTTCTTTGTTAAGCAGCCACCTTCACCGGATCACATCAAAACAACAAAAGTGCCTAAATCGGTTTCCGATAAAAAGCGGTTCTTTGAATCGGCTATGGAAGATCAACACAAACCATCACAAAAGACAGGTAAGACAAAATCATATACACACATATGCACCTTGCAAGGTGGCAAACTGTAATGCGATACGAAAGAGCAATGCGATGCGATAGGCAAATACATCGTAAGTTGGGGCGATTGCCTATCGCATTGCAATTATCATTCGCATCGCATTACAGAGTAGGCCCCCTGAACTAGTGAACATATTTCTAGTTCCGTACTAGATATTTATCGCCAAAGGCAAATCAGTTCGATAGTAATTTGTTCTAAAGCAGCGAAATATGGCACTTAAAAAAACTACTTTATTTTACTTTTTAAAACTACATAACGCTAGTTAAGAGTGAAAAGTTGCTGCTATGTCTACTTTTGCTAAAAAAAATATTTTTTGATGCAACCAAGAACATATCGTCACCTGAGAGGAAGATCAACCTATCTCGGCAGCCAGTTCGAAAACGCCCTATCTCAGAGAACTTTTCAAGAACGCCATATTTCAGAATTTGATTGCAGAACGCCCTTTTGCAGAATCTTATTGAAAAGCAAACTATCTCAGAATTTGGTTGAAGAACGCTCTATCTCAACTGAAAATACATCGAAAATGTGCTGACATAGGACGTTTTTGAATCAGCAGTTGAGATAGGGCGGTCTTCAACCAAATTCTGAAATAGGGCGTTTTCAATCAAATTCTGAAATAGGGAGTTCTTCAATCAAATTCTGAAGTAGGGCGTTCTTGAAAAGTTTTCTGAGATAGGGCGTTTTCGAAGTGGCTGCCGAGATAGGTCGATCATCCATCCACTCAAAAGATCTAACTAAGTACCAATTGCATTTCTAACCGTTTCTGTTCAGTGATACGCAAATTTGCTAAGTCCAAAAATATCAAATTGAAAATACATGTCGCTTTAAAGTAAAAAGCAGCTTTTTTGACAGATATCCCATTGAAAGTTATGTCAGTAACCTGTTTTTAACTTTAGAGTCTACTTTATTTCGAACGAGTCATTTATTTAAAAAAATAAAAATAAAATAAAAAATTTAATCGTTACCAAGGGAACATCCAATATATCAAAATTCTTTTATCGTCAGTCGATTTTAGTATCGGATCAGTTCGGCACTAGTGCGCTTCCCCACAGGGTATATTATTCCTAAAGCCTTAGTAGATTTCATTTCGAAAAAGGGTAATTTCATGTAAAAGAGGAAAACGACATAAATTGCTACTTCATTATTTAAAATTAAACTTCGCCTTGGTCTAAAATAATTTTAAATAATAAAACTTTCATTGGCTCATATTTATAGGTTTATTGTTTGTTTAATTAGTTTCAAGTTCACAGAAACGTACAGGTTTTGTTTTATTTACGATTCAAATAGTTTTGAGTGCACAGAAATGAATTTAAATAATTAGATTGGAATTAAATATTTAGGCGAATAATGAATTAAATGAATTGAGCATTTAGGTAAAGAATTAATGCAAACTATTTGATTTCACAAAACACAACCGTCTCAGCTACCGGCTCGTACTCGACTCGCTGCTAGACTGCCATGATACGCCATTGTTTCTTTAAAAAAGAAATAGGGTTGCCAGGCTTTAACCTCACATATTTATGTAGCCCAAATCACTTATAAAGAATATGCTTCAGCTTTTTAAGTTTCTTTAAGTATTTTTTATCTTATTATTTATGTTTGATTTATAAAAGATCCTTAATAAAATTTTGACTAAAAATACATGTATTTTTGGGTTGTTACATAAAAAGCGACGGTATTTTGTTGAAAAGCCCATCTTTTCTTTGCGACACGCGTTAACCGACTCCAATCGGGACCACTATCGACTGTGGTAGTATCGATTTTTGGTATTAGACGAAAAAAAAAAAATTATTTTACTGTACTTTGCCCCCCTGTGCGACATGCCTTAATCGTTTCCAATCGGGACCAAAATTTATACGTGATAGCTGTGACCGTGCTATTACCGATTGAGAGGTGAGACCGAAAGAAATCGTTCATTTAATTTTTATGGACCACCCTTATGTACGTCGATTTGGGAAACTAAAATGTACATCAGTGTTCAAAACTGTAACGACATCTCGTAATCCAAGGGACCACTAAAATATTACAAGTAATCGCGGTTTTCAGAGAGAGGAACTACGAGTTATAGGCATATTTTATCTTTACTTTTTTTTACTGCAAGAACATACACTTTCATACATATTGGTCATTACGAGTTGTAAGATATTAACAACTAAAACTCCAAGTTCAAGACCTTTCTAGACAACACAAAAGCAAAAGTAACGGTCATAAGCTATTTCCGCTTTCTTTTCTAATTTGCAAATTATGTACAGTATTCAAGACAAATATTACTGGCGTTTTCGTTTCTTCAAAATGCCTTGCCTTTTCATTGTTCTGCTCTTAGTGTTTTTGCGAACTTTATTACGAATTATGGCGATTTTTGACTTATTGAGCCTACGAATTACAGAGATTCCACTGTAGTTATTTCCCCCTTTATGCTTTCCGGATACGAAAAATGGCCAGGAATCGAAATGTTTTATTGCCTTTTCCTGATAAGAAAATTGGCCAGAAAGCACACTGCCCGCAAAACGTTAGTTTCTTTTCTAGCTGGCGAGCTAAGTAGTTGTATTTAAATATAAATATTACAACTGAATCAAAGTCAAATCAATTTATATTTATATTTTACCGTACGCTTCACCGGCCATATTATTGACACTCCGAATTTGTCGGAATAATGTGGAATATCAATATTTAGGGAATAGAAGAGAATTAGTCGGAATAAGTCGCATAGAATAAAATGGAATAAGGCGTAACAAGAAAGTCAGAATAGTTCATTACTGAGTTTTACATTTTTTTTTAGCAATACATACAGGTAAGAAATCAAAACTCAGATTCTAGTTTGTAGTTATCCTTTTTAATCCATTTAGGGTGAAATAATGACGCATTCATCTCGATCCAATGCACTGATCGTAATTGACCGTGTTCAACGTGTTTACGAGGAAGACCCAAAACAATAAGTACAAAAAAGGTATTAAAGCTGCATTGAGCACATATATTGATTGAAAAATATTTTTATTGATATTGTTTACAGACAACGATATCTCGCACACGAAGTAAATGTACTGTGCGCATTGTGTTTCTTGGCTGCTGTTAGCATGCAGTCTATCTTCGGTGACATTAGAGGGGTTTGCCAAAATATACTTATGTATGTATGGATTAATTTTAACATTCGCATTCGCAATAATAAGTGCGGAGCTTGTACCGCAATAAAAAAAGAAAAAATATAGCTGAAAGTCCTCTTAACTGGTGAGGCGTCAATCGAAACGAATTTAAAATTTTGTCAAGTTACGTACGCATAATATTATATTTGTCGCCTCCATCAATAAGTGTTCCGAGAGAGCACTTATTCAGTAGCGCAGGTTTGATTTACGATGCTTTAAGAAACAGGCTTGAACCTGAAAAGGCAGAAACTTTACTTTTTATAAATGCAATGCCTCAATTTTTAAATTTAAGTACTAAGTAAAACAAAGATTATTTAAAATTACTAACATTTCCATGTTTTCATTTACCTAAAATATATCTTGAAAACATCCCTCATATGGGACATTCTAGCCCATTTAGGACACCATTTCCGATATTTCTCATAATTTTTTATGTTATACTACCAATCCAGAGAGGATTCAGACAATCCGTTCGTTAAATTTTCATCGCCAGAATTCTCTAAATGAAAAGCAGTGGGACCTAAAAGTAAACAATATGGAAAAGTTACAGATGCAATTTCTAATCAGACAAATGCGGCAGTATGAGGGACATGTTACTAGATTCTGCAACTTTTAAACTTGGTCCGATAATGATATATTTAAAATTTTTTAATTAATGAAAAACTAACAAATTTTGTCAAATTCAACGCATTCTGCATCAAACCAAATGAATTTAACGAAATGATAAAGATACCACGTTGTAGAGGAAGAAATTCTCTACATATTTGCAGAGATAATTACTACGCTACGACTAATCCTTTTCGCGTAATTAATCGTTATCGCCTTCCTTTAAGTTTGATCGAACACATGAATACTCGTACATGGAGTATGAGTAACATTCCCTGCTCATATTTCATACAAAAGAAATAAACTATTGGCTTTACCAATGGATTACGCGAAAGTGATACATCGCGGCGTTATACTTTGCACTGCAATTTTGTAGAGAGTTTCTTCCTCTACAATGTGGTATATTTGTCTTTTTGATTACTAAATTCAGGCAGAATTCTTGTCGTTGAATTGGACGAGATTTGATAGTTTTTCATCATGATTCAATAATGGAAAGGTTTTGTAATAAAACAGTCTTCTCGCTCCCACACATAAAATCGGCTCCTTTACTTGTTCAGAATGTTGCTTACTCTATAGTTTCTAGTGATATTAGCAGTAAAACCAAAAATTCTTCATACTAAATATTCGTTGGCGTCACCTTCCTTTTGCGTAATTTTCTATAACAAGTGTAGAATAGCGACCGTTTAGCTATAAAATAACCAAAAATGCCGATTGATAGAACTTTTTACGCTGATTTCAACGATACCAATTTTTTTCAATTTTTCCTAATAAACAATCGTGGTACAAAGCTCAATAAAAATATTAAAAATAAAATGTTAACAAGCCACAATAACATTGACAAATACATAGTTTAGGAAGAGCCTGCCTGAAACTATACAAAAAAGCAAATAAGCAAATGGATGTATAGAATTGACAACAACCACGCTGTCGAGTTTAAATAGCGGCAAATCAGCTGCACTTGATAGTAGTTGGTTGAATAAGGAAAATGAATTAGCAACAAGAGTTTACGGGATGTACATAGCTCAGTGGTTAACGCTTCTGACTTTGAACATTGAATACGCAGGTTCGATCCCTGCTGAATTCTAGAAAAAAGAAGTCTGATGAGGAGATGTGGCGATCTCCAAAATAGTGCTATAACTTCTACCGCTTAGACTTTGTTGCTTTTTAAATTTTTTCCTAATAAACAATCGTGGTACAAAGCTCAATAAAAA